AATACACTGAAAATTACGTTCAGAGCAGAAGACATGAGGCTTTTCTGTCCACAAACACCTGCTCATGGCCACCAGAAGCTTCGTGCGCTCTCTGGCCTTGCTGTCTAGAAGCGTCTTTGTCACCAGCACGAGCCTGACTTGGAGAAACAGAGCTAGACCCAGACAGTTGTCCCCGACTTCCATCTGCCCTTTGTCCACAGCTCTGGGAGGCACCAACTGCGAGGCCCTGGGATTCCTGCTCCCCAGTATCCACACTCCGTGGAATCCTCTCCCCCTGAGTATGCCCTGAACAGCAACTCCCTTCTGGCAAAGGGAAAATGGCAGAAATGATAGAATGGGACTTCTGAGGTTCCATTCCAAAAGAACTGTGGGGCCGGGGAGGATAGCTCAGTGGCTTAAGTACCTACCTGGGAAGCACAAGGTCCTGAGTTCAATCCCTGGTACCAAAAAAAAAAGAAGAAGAAAAACCAAAAGAACTGTGGCTTTTGCCCTTCTTTATAAAATTATTTTTTATTTAATTGGCACATAATAATTTTGTACCTATTTACAATGTATAGTTTGACCTCTTACTATATATATACAATGCATAATGATCAAATCGGAGCAATCAGCATGTCTCTCATCTTAAAAATATAGGGGCCGGGGAGATGGCTCAGTGGAATAAGCGCTTCCCTGGCAAGCGCAAGGACCTGAGTTCAATCCCTGGTTCCACAAAAAAAAAAAAAAAAAAAAAAATCTATCCTTTCAGCTGGGTATGGTGGCACATGCCTGTAACCTCAGCTCTCTAGGAGGTTAAGGCAGGAGGATGACAAATTCAATCTCAACCTGGGAAGTTTAGGGAGACTCTGTCTCAAATAAACAAGAGCAGGCAAGATAGCGCAGTGGACTAAGCACCTGCTTAGGTAAGCGCAGGGTCCAGGGTAATCCCTTGGCACTACATGCCACACCAGCCTTGCCCCCTGGGCACGCTGAGCCAGCAACTGAGTCCAGGAGTGGTGGTGCATGCCTGTAGTTTCAGCACTGGGGAGGCTGAAAACAGGAGGATCACTATTAAGTCCAGTCTAAGCTGTGTAGTGAGACCCTGTACCAAATACATAAAAAAAAAAAAAAAAGCCAAGGGTAGTGGCAAACACACACCACCACCACGTAAACACTGCTCCTCTCTCTTCCTTTCCACCAGAAGGTATTGCTCATGAACCCCAGGGCCTTTAGTCTTCCCTAGCTCCTTCTCTTGGGCTAGCAGTCTTCAGGTGATCCACAGGCCCCTGAAGTCTCTGCTAGCCAGAAAGATAACACCTCTCGTGGCCTTTCTTCCCCATTCTGGATCTCCAGGAGACATCCAACTACACAACCCTGGGTGTTTTGCCCTGGGTAGAAGTGAAATGGGCTAAGTCAGTCTTACCAAACAGTGTCCCCAGCAAGAAGTCCACCCTTGTGGCTAAAGCAGTAGGAACAGGGGACCCATCACCATTGGCAAAGAGAATGCACAGGACACTGTGTTTACGTCCTGTTCCTGCTCTAACCACCTCAGATGTAGCGGTTTGAAACAACAAAATTTATTCTCTCATACTCCTGGAATCAGTCCAAAGTTAGCTCCTCCGGGCTAACATCAAGACATCAGCAGGGCTATTTCCTTGAGAAGACTAAAAGAAGAACTCAGGTTCTGTCTTTCTCAGTTTTTGTTGATTGATTGATTGATTGATTGATTGATTGATTGATTGATTAAAGCGATGGGGTCTCGTCTTCTCTTACCCAGGTTGGCCTCAAACTTCTGGAACTCAAGTGATCCTCATGTTTCAGCCTCCTGAGTAGCTGGTACTACAGGTGAACATCATCATACCTGGCTTCCTTTTCTAGTGTCTATGGCCACCTGTTTTCCTTGGCTTGTGGTTTCTTCCTTCATCTTCAAAGCATATCTCTCCAATATGTTTCTATTATGACATCCACTGGTACCTCCCATGTCCCTCTTACAGTGATCATTATGATTCTATTCTGGTCACCCCCAGAAAATCCAGTATAATCTTCATCTCAAGAGCTTTAATTGAGCTACACATGGTGGTGCACATCTGTAATCCCAGCACAAGGGAGGCTGAGTCAATAAGATCACTGCAAGTTCAAGGCCGGCCTGGGCTATATACTGAATTCAAGGACAGCCTCAACTACATAAGCAAGACCTTATCTCAGAAAAATAAATAAATAAATGAAAGCCTTAGAGATATAGCTCATCAGCACAGCACCTGCCTGCCAAGTGCGAGGTCCTGAGTTCGATTTCTGGTATCCCCCAAAAAAGTTTTAACCTGATCACACCTTCAAAACCCTTTCTGCCATGTAAAGTGACATATTCCCAGGTCCTAGGGGTCACGATGTGGGTAGTCTGATGGACAATTATTCAGCCTACCCCAGAGCCCATCAATACATGAGTGAAGCTGGCACATTTCTAGCAGACAAGTCAAGGCAGAGGCACAGAAACATGACTCAGTAGAGATAAGCAAAACATTCAAGAGGGAGCTGCAGGCCAGGACCCCTCACGGAGAGTCCTCTGTGCTCTCTGTGTCCTCTCCTCCCTGCTTAACAAGGCACAGGACACCCAACATCTAGGGAAACCAGAACTGAATACTGGTTCCCTGAAGCGGGAACAGTCTGAGGCGCTACCTCACGCAGATGCTGACATCTGGATGAAAACAAACAAAAAAGGCAGCCAGCCCTGCTTAAGCCCTTGTGAGGAGGGCAGGGCAGCCGGAAATGGGGCTCCTGGTCTCTCACTCACCCAGCCCATGGTGGCAAGCTTCACACAGACCCAGAGCTCCTGTTCATATGCTGATGCAAGCCTGGTGCTAAAACAGCCTTTCTTTTAGAGCAGGAAGCCACTTTTATCACCTGCAGATACAAGCTGGGTCCCTCCTTTGAGGACACCAAGTGACAAGCCCAAGCCTGGATCACCAGATAAGAACAAAAAACCCAGGGTCGGGGAGATGGCTTAGTGGAATAAGCGCTTCCCTGGGAAGCACAAGGGCCTGAGTTCAATCCCCGGTTCCGCCAAAATAATAATAAT